TATAAGTCAATGAATATAAGTTTACCCCCGCACAGAATTCCTGCACGTTATCGTTTTKAATGGCATGGTTTAATGTGTTGTACTCTATCACATATAGTCATGTTGATATTATTTTGTTTCTGTATTTGAATTATGTTTCTTTATCTCCGATGTGGACTCACTGAAAGAATTCCATTTCTCAGGTCTGTCAAAGGTGTGATTAGTCTTTGGGATCTCAAGACAAAAAGAATTCATACAAACATTGAAGAGCACAGTGGGAATGGTATTCTTGGACTTCATATAACTGAAAATTCAAAACTAATAAGGTATTTAAAGAAATTTTTTTAACGTACATCCTGTATTAGATATAATAGGGAGATTTAGAGGCATATCATTCATCAATATTGAATAATTTCATATCTGTTTTACTGTTGGATTATTGAAATGCTATACTTAAGTGTATTCTCTCATGTCCCACTTGTTAATTCTTTCCATCGCTTGGGATGCCTGTTTTGTGATTAAAATCTGGGAGAGTTGAAAACACTGACCCCCAGTCCACGGACCCCTCCATGGACCACCTCCACGGACTACCGATGAAAACATTGCAAATGCCAAATAATAGATTTGACAAGAATTATTTTGCATTTGCTCATCCAATAAAGGGTGTTATGCATGCTATATAGTCAATTAAACGGTCGCTTCACTACCCCCGGGAAAAACCGCGAATTTAATGTTTGAGTGGCGTTGAAATAAGACGTTTCCCCCGGTAAAACTCGGTTGTTAAAATCCCCGCTAGACTTGTCCCGCTATTTTGATCTAGTAGTAAATAACAAAACAAGCACCTTTCAGTCAAATTTTCTGTGATACACAGGGTTAATTTTTGTATAATCCTGTATAATCTTTTGCGTACTACATTGAGGCTATGGACTGTGTATTAAGTTTCTTTTAAAAATTTTTCATACATGCCCCGCTTCAAAAACAATTCATCAAAATCCCGACACCCGGGGCAATCCTACTGATAAAAGCATGTCACTATTTAATACTCCGCTAGTCCTGGTAGTTGGGTACAGGGGTTTCGAATTAAGTTAATGATTTGAACTTTGTCACGTCAGTCCTCTTCACGTTATATTTTCATTTGATTTTTTTGCACCACAATTCCTGTTGCTTCTTCACATTAATTAGAAATTTATAGTGCGCAGATTTCCATCAACCATCTTGTTTAAAAGGAGTGGTCAGCGGTTAGCAGTCGAAAGAAAATTGGCTAAAGTTCAAAAATCATACCATGTAATAGCATTTTCCTACTCTTTAAATGTAAATCTGTGCACTATAAATCAAGCTGTTTGAATTTTCAATCTATAATGCGGCAAGCTGAAGATCGAAGCACGAGTGATTGTGGTTCAAAAAAAACCCAAAAGACTGACGTTACAATGCGGCCGACCGACAAGATAATGATAAGATAAATCATTAACTTAACACCCTTTATTGGATGAGCAAATACAAAATAATCCTTGTCAAATCTATTATTTGGCATTTGCAATGTTTTCATGGGTGGTCCGTGGACATGGTCCATGCAGGGGTCCGTGGACAGGGGGTCAGTATTTTCAACTCTCCCATTAAAATCTTCAGTTTCCATATTCTGTCCATGGGGCATAGCACACATAGAGAAAAAGACATCCTATCCCTCCCTTCCTTGTAAAGCATTTCTAAAAATCAGAAGAAAAAAAATTTGAATTATGCAACATTAATCTAAAAAAAGCTGAAATTATCAATGAGAGAAGTCTTACAAATAAAGACTGTGAGTGACTGTAACTTAAATAAATATCATTTATCACTTAAATATTAATCTTTAGTAATACTATGTTTCAAATTCCATATTATATTATATATATGTGAGAATTTCATGAGGTTTACCATTTACCAGTCAGTGGTATCTTACTTTGACTWAACGTTTTAATGGACTGCTTTTTTACCCAAAAGTTATGTTCAGTTGCTGAAATTTGATAGTCTTATTCTTTGTATTAAGTGTGTGTACTGTTTATTGTAAGTTTCCTTCAACATTTTGTTGTCAGCTTCATATTGCCATCACGTGTACTAACAACCTTGATAAAAAAAAAATCTTGATAATGGCCATGTAAGACGAAATCTCAGTTTCAACAATCAACTATCTACACAGAACAAACTTGAATTTGAACATAAATATAGCTATGTACAATGAGATTTTAAAGATTGCTTTTTTATGGTTTATACATTTATTCTAGCCAYGGAAGAGATGGTTTTATCAATGTTTACAATCTTGCTGGTGGTAATGCTGTTTTGGAAACAAAGTTTTCTCTTCCTGTGTTTGGATTTTGTAAATTTTCCGTTCTAAAAAATGGTAGGTTTATTCAAACTGCACATAAAAAAACATTTTGTGAAATAATTAAGGAATTTGTGGTAACTATGATAAAATAGTTCTTTGAGGAGTTTTACATGTAATTTTAAAAGACAACTTGCCATCCTTTTTCATCACTCTGTTGAAAGTGCAGTTTTTATTATCTTGCTTCCTTTTTTCTCTCTTTTCTCACTCATTTCAATTGCATTTATGCTTGGCAAATAATCCACCTCCTAGAGTACAGTACCGTCCGTTTCCCACTCATACGAAATCTGATCTATTCTTCTTTCTTTACTAATTTACATCTTTTTGTTATAGTGTCAGATAACAGAACATGGCTTGCTACAGCATCATCTACGCAGTCACAGGTTTACAATATTTAAAAACATTCACAATAACATTTGTCATTACGTAGACTTAGTAGAGGCTACCTTGCTGGATTTATTATTTGGTGCAATGTTTTGCTTCTAACAAACGTGATAGAAAAGTAAGGAATATCATTTCATTTTCCAGATTGATATTGTGGATGTTGAATCAAAAACAATTTTACATAAATTAAAGCCTAGAGATGAGAAGGGATATGGTATGTAGTATTTGCTATCTTCTATCTATGTTTTTTTTTCTGTCTGTATTGACTGTGCATTGTTTAGGTATGTGTATGTGTGTAAAGCTGTTTGTCTGCCCAGAGACACAACAAACCAAAGTGCTGGTTGGATATGAAGACGGCTCCATTAGACTGTTTGATATTGGATCAGGAAAGATGGAAAGTCAACTAAGAGTGCATTCAGAATCTGGTATGTAATATGTTACCAAGTTTTTTTTTAAGATAGTCACGAGATGGATGACTAAATGGCTGGATTATTTATCAGTTATTAGTCAGTTGATTGATTGATTCAATTGACTAATAATTGATTGATTGATTGAATGATCATTGGTTGACGATTAACTGATTGATAATTGCTTTGAATAAATGAATGATGGTTTGATGGATTGATTAATTGGTTGATTGAATGATTGATTGGTTGTTTGTTTGGTTGATAATTGATTGTTTGGTTGATTATTGGTTGTTTGGTTGATTGATTAAATGATTATTTGTGTTGTTTCTYCCATTCAAGTTATGTGTATGGATATGGATTTGCACACTCTAAAAGTAGTAACTGGGTCTGCAGACAATAAACTGGTGGTTACAGACCTTTTGTCGACGGTGAGTTACCATCATGGACCCCTAGTAAGATCGACTCCAGACCTGTTTATTGGCAGGCCATTATTTCAATTTCTGTTTGGAGCACTCAAATGCTCTTTGTTGTACAAAAAAGTGCTATTTGATGAAAATGCTCGAAAACGCAATTTAACTCAAAGTAGAACTCGAAATAGGTTGTCCAAAGAAGTCATAGAAAACAATATTTTGTCAGCTGAATCTTTTATTCTGTATCAATTTTATTTGATGGCTTTTAGCTGTGACCCGTCTAAATGCGTCCTGGCTGTCAAATTAGCGTTATCCAGTTTTTCCTTTCAGAAAGTACTAAGTAGATAACTCAGAAGGAGYCGACAGGGTCTGTTCTTCTAAATAACTGTTTTTGTAAGATTTTTTTCCTTGGAAAGGGATTTTTGAGCTACACTGTCGACAATCKCACAAACAAATGTGGCKCCCTTCCTTCTTTAAAATATATAACGTTTTTGTGGTCAAAAACGGCTGGTATTTTTTCTAGTTAGGGAATTTTTATTTTCCTGGCAAAAATTCTTAGAAAGTATTCCTTGTAGTTCTGAATTTCTCTCTGGCAACCAGTTGTGACTTACAGCTGGGTGGGACATAAGAACAGATATATTTCTCACAGGAACCCTCCTCCTTATAATTTGTTCAATTGCAGAATGAGCTCAAAACCCATCGTGAAGTAGAGATTAAAAAGCCTGGTATCGCTGACGTTAAAATAAGAAGTGACAGTAAAATAGTCTGTACTGGAGGATGGGATAATAGGTATGAAACACCTTTACATTTGACAACGACAGTGAGTGAGTAMAAGCACGAGTTTTCAAAATKGCTKTTATTATGTTGCTGATCCACATCGTGTATTTATTACTCTGATGTTTTAGTCTATTAACCGGACTTCAGCTCATAATCAATACCATACGCAAGGCAGACTTGTAGAACTTGAATATACACCTACTGTATTGCGAATTTGTCAGATAGCAATAGCAAAAATTGAACTTGAAAAAGGTTATTAGTCAAACATTTAAATGCGTTTTATTTTATTCAGTTTTATTTTTGCATGGTAACGTTTTCGAAATGAGCTGTAATGCTTATGCGTTTTTTTTTTCCATTTATTCATTCAATTTATTCATTGTATTCCACTTCTTTGGCATCCAGGATACGTGTATATAGCTGGAAAACTCTTAAACCGCTTGCCATTTTGAACTGTCATTCAGAAACAGTCAACACCATAGATTACTCGCCACACCTTGCAGACAGTGGAATGCTGATGGCCGCTGGYTCTAAAGACTGTAAAATTAGCGTATGGTCCATTTACAACCAAGTGTGAAGGTCATTTTACAAAATAATGATAAACACAGTATACAAAATCACCTATCCACGTCAAGAACAACGTTCCTTTGACCTTGATATAACTATTTTCAAATAAATTATCATTTTCAAGATTGAATATTTGAATCAAAATCTTCATACTGAAGACAGATCAGAATTCGCATAACAAACAACTTGTTGGTGTACATACAGTACATGATCGTTTGTGTTGTTTGATTGTGATTCAAATTGAGTTTTTCATGCACCTGTTTGGCGAGTCGAGARACCATCTCTGTCCTGCTGTGGAAGAAAACAACTATTACAAAAGACGAGTTGAATAAGTCACAGAGAAAAAACGTTGCAATCGCRAATACATTAAATATATAAACGCAACATTTCTTCGACGAACACTACCCTTTCTTACAATTTAACACTGCAATTGGAACTGGATATTCAAATTCTCTCATAAATTACGAAAATAAAGGCAAAATCTTCATTACTGGTGACTTGGATCAAATTGTCCWAGTATTGTGTACTTTATATTGGCGAATTCCCGCCGAGAGCATAAAACTATCGYACTCTTATTGGTTGAAAAATCAATGACGTCACGTCGTTTACCACAAGTATATGATCTGGAAGACAGCTGATTGGCTGATTACAGTCCGGTTGTTTTTTTTCTTCAGATGCGTTCGCCGATAAATCAAAATACCTTTAAATATTAATGGCCTATGGTTCCGTACATGGACCTTGGGCTCTTCACYGTGTAAAACTGCCTCACAAAACACTAGAGATTGAAAGCATGGAATTTACACCTGATAATTCTACTTCAAGAAATACAAGGGATTTCATCCTAGCGCCTGTCGGATGTTTCGGAGGACATGTTTGACGCTGAACACAAATATTCAAAGATTGATTTTTATTTCCTCGATTGAGATCCTTGTCATAGCAATGAGACTTGAACGTTTAATGAATTTAGTTGCTGTCTAAAGGTTGTCGGAAGTTTCCTGGTTGAAAATTGATTGTGGAACAAACTACTATCTGATGTGGAAATTCAACGACAATGAATTCTGTCATCTTTCAGTATTTAGACAACAAAAAATCCCAACTGAAAACAAATATTAATGAAAACAAGCGAATTACAAAGATACGTGAAAAAATGGCGACCGAAAACCCAGTCAAACGTAAGTAATTTTCACCTTTATACATTTTTMAACTTTTATTATATTTGCGCTTGGGGTAGCTTGCTTGGTGCGAAAACAGTGTCAAAACAAGTACTTAATTTCACAAGTTCATTTTATTCGCTATTGTAAACAGTGAATGCTTTTAATCCAGTTCCTTAGTTTCTATTGTTCAATTTAGCAACAATGAACTGGGTACATTCAATTTTCGTTATATAATTTTTATTTATTTTTTTAATTTGTACTTTATGTGCGAACATGATAAATATTCTGCAACTATATTCAATCAATAGGTTGAGTACATTCGTTTTTTATTAGTTTTTGGATTCTGATTATTGGTGGCAGAATGGGTAAGATCAAATCAGATCAGTATTTTACTTGGCGCAAATACTGCTCAAGTATAATTGCAATCTGTGTTCTTTGCTTGAATCAGTTATGTGAATTCTCRATCCAAATTAATAAATTCATTAACCTTAAACCTGCAAAACCACTGCCATCTTAACCTGAGTAAACCAGAGTAAACACAGGGAGCCCAAAATCATTGTCAAACAGACAGTATTCAGCCCAGAATGCTCGTCGGTCCAATTCAGAGAATCCATGCTACCATTTTGAATTTTTCTGACATAGCCCCAGTGGACGTATTCCAGTCCCGGCCTCCCTTTCGACCCGCTCCAGAGCTTATTACAGAATCTAAATGGTTTGATCGCTTTTATCAACATGTTCTTGTTCAAGTTGTTGAACGGCATTTATGTATGGCTGGATACACGACAATCCGGCTTATTCTCATTTAAAGAGAGCAACCGCTGATACAGTGGACAACGGACTCACTTGAATAAAGACCTTGCCAAAAACAAAAAAACACAAGGCACAAGGGCCCTAGAAATTTGAATCTTTGAATTTGATGCTATATTAAGCCTAGAGTTTAAGCCTTCTTTAAATACAGGTTTACAGGCCCGTAGCAAGGGATTACTCAAGCGATGTGGCGTATAAGATTCACAGCTATTAGCACTTCCAGGGAAAACGTTAAAAAACGTTTTTGAAATTAAGCAACGTGAATATACCTGACATCCATATTTATGTACCTCAAGCGTTGATGAAAGACATAACAATTATGTTCTCAGCGTATCAGAAATTTGAAAAAGAAAAGTCGAAACTCGTCTAAACCTTAATCCCGAGGAAGAAAACCGCTTAATTTGAGAAATATAAAAGGAATTTCCGTGTTTGTTACTTTGAACAAAACACGCGGGATGGGGCGTCGTGATTAAATTTCTTCTAAAAAATACAGCTCTTTTAGGTAATTTTGATCGTAATCGGTTTATTTAAATTGTTGATGTAATGTTTAAAGTCCGACTGAGGACTGGACGGGATTTCAAGTCCGCGCAATTAGTTCCAGTCCGAGAGCAACCGCTGTTACAGTGGACAACGGACTCACTTGCATAAAGACCTTGCCAAAAACAAAAAAACACATACTCATTAATTATTCGGGAGGGAAAAAAGCGAAGGAAACACATATAACAGAAATATATTGATTTATGACCATTTATTGAATCTCCACCAAGGTTTTCAGTTCATAACTTTGAATACATGAAGCACCGTTTGTTGTTCTTCAATTCCCTGACGGCTTTCTGAAACAAAAGCTATTCAAGTTGTCTTTGTCTGCTATTCATGKCAYTCCTAATGAGYYTAATCCATAAGATTTATAAGTATGTTATCTTCCGAGGAATCGCATCAGAAACTCGGTGGTGTTATGGTATAAGATTGCGTATATAGACTGGAGGGTAGGGGATCGAGTCGTGAGGGAGTCATGTATCAAAGACCTTTTTTCACTAAATTAATGTTAAACTGATTATTTCTAATAATTTKMTYRTCATTAGCTAGTAGTAGTTGGAAACATGGTAGAAGTAACTGGACATAAGGTAGAAATAGCTGGAAATAAGATGGAAGTAACTTGAAAAAGGTAGAAAGAAGTAACTGGAAATAAGGTAAAATACAAGGTACGAGTACTTCCTCTGGTTTCAAGTTACTTCACGTGGTACAAATTACAATCAGGKATTGSCTGGATACCTCATGAATAATTAATGAGTATGAGAAGAAACTAGCAAATCTCAATCAATCTCAATCATTCTCGATCAAAATTTGGTCAAGATGAAGAGCGATCGAACTCAAATTACAAGGAAAAGTGAAATGGCGGATAATTTGACCAAAAACAGCTCAAAGGTCACTAAGAACAACCTCAAAACGTCGGCGAAAACACAATACGAATGTCTTTAATCTTTAATCATGAAGAAACGAAACAAACTTACAACAATTTTTTCGAGCCGTAAGCTGAAATGTATAAACTCGCCACGAAAGGACAAAACTGGAAGTCTTTCCTTGATACTTTAAGTCAATTTAAGGTTCATTCTATTCTTCAAACGATTTTAGCTGTTGATTTTTTGTGGTTCTCCGTTACGAAGTAATCCATTATGTCGTCGTGATGTAAGAAAGCAAGACATTTGTTGCACACTACTTATACACGACTCTTTTCCGAAATCTGTTTGATCATTTCACGATCGATATCGCAGCAGAAAGACCGAATGCCTCATGGGATACGCCTCGTCGAGTAACCATATGCGCTGTAAGAGCGACTTTAATTTCAGAACGTAGAAGTCGCTGCATTTTATAACCGTTTTATGAATTAAAATTAAATTAAAGATGGAGAGATCAACGCAAGAATTGGCTGTTAGCTCCCAAGAAGGTAACTTACTAACTATCATGCATTCTGTATGGAAAAACCGATGTATTGGTATCATAGTTGGTCTAAAGATTCCTGAACTACTCTGCAACAGCGAAAAGCCATCCACGAGTATCGAGGAGATCGCTGCAAAGTCTGGCTGTAAGACAAGCACGCAGCTATACGCTGTAATGAGACTTCTTGCTCGGTGGAAAATCGGTAAAGAGGTCGAAAATAAGCATTTTGCTAAGAATGAAAGTATGGAGCTTTTAAGACGAGACAAAGGTCCAAGTATAGGTCATTTGTTCGAGTACCACAGTAGCGAAGAACACGTCAGTGCCTTGAGATCGTTGGGAAGTTGCGTAAAGCAAGGCAAACCAGCCTTTGTACTTGACCACGGAATGAATCACGTCGAGTATATGTATAATCTGGAAAAATGCTACGATCAAACAAAGATGTACGAAGGAACGTCTGAGTTCAAGATAGGAAGCGATGATCGCAGAAGGGAGTTCGCGGACAACTACTCAAGCGCTGTGGCGTATTATTCACAGCTATTAGCACTTCCAGGGAGAACGTTTAAAAACGTTTATGAAGCTTTTCCCTGGTCCACATGTCACAAACTTGTGGACATCGGCGGAAGTTTGGGTAGTTATCTCGCATCTATTTTGAAACTACCAGGCTGTGAGCACATCCAAGGGTATGTTCTTGATTTGCCAGATGTTGTTGAGGAAGCCAGAACAAAGATTCAAGAACTTGGGATTCCTGAGCATCGTATTAAATTTGTCAAGTATGATTTTACCAAGCCGTTTCCTAGTGATCTGATCTTGCAGGCTGACACCATTATGTTCAAGAACACGCTGAGTATGTTTGTCTTTGATCACAAATTGGTAATCGAGATCCTGAGTAACTGTCGAAAGCTCTTTCCATCCAAAGGCGGAAGACTTCTGATTAATGATTGCATGGCATTAGAAGACAAAGATGAAAATGTTGGAATCAATGGCTTTGAAACGGATGCACAATCAATCCATTGGCTAAGCATTTGTGGAGGACCTTTGTTGACCAAAAGAGATTGGATAGAACGCATCCAGGTGCTTGGTAAGGATTTGGGCTATCAACCGGTTCAATTCTATGACACGTTTGTTGGAGGACAGGTTATTTTTGAAGTATCGTACAAACCGAATGGTAATCAAACATTTAACTGATACGAACGATTTACTCAGCTAATACATTTTACTCTGAATGCAATAGACAGTTAAGCTGTATTTGTTACTTCTGTGTATATTTTCATCACAATGGATTTGAATCTGGAAACTACTGTGTAACTATTACTAGTGTACTGCAATGTTTATCAAATGTAGATCTTTATAATGTTTCATATTCATTATAGATAAAGCTGACAACTTTTTAAAACTTTTCTCTGTCTGTGTGTAAAAAAGCGTTAAGAATTTCTCAAGTCACGACACGACATGTGGTGCAATTTCATGCATTTAACGACGCTCGATAGACTCAAAACCTTTTTAGATTATTACCCATACTTGTTTTGATATAATATTGTTATTGGTGGGTTGCATGTGACGTCATACTCAAGCAAAAAATATCGAAAAATCCAAGATATTTCTTCTAAAGAGCTWTTCTTACAGTATATCTTAAATATACGTCTAAATAGTGTGTATGCAAATTTTCATGCGAATTCAACGCTTTGGTGGCGAAACACAAAAGTTTTAGTTTGTGCGGAGTTTAATTTATTCTACCGTAGATCGTAAATAAAAACTTCGAGATTAGATAAATTATTCTTTCAACTCCGTAAGAACTTACTTAAGGTGATTTTTCTTTGAAATAAAGTCATAATTGACCAAAATTTACAAWGGAAACSAVTYTTTAAAGTTAATTTGAAATCAGACGCCATCTTGGATTTGGATGATCAAAGTTATCATCCAAGATGGCGTTCCCATACATATTCAGTAACCAAATTTTTCAAATCTTTATTCGCTTATATCTTCAYCRAAAAGTAAGSTACAGSACTAAAAGCTMGTATTCTAGATAATTTGACTATGCTCTTTATGACTTGCTACTTGGTTTTTGAAAATAACGAATAATAACGAATGATAAATTTTCAGTTCGGGGGTTGCTCTTCTGTTGATGATAGAAGAATTATTTAATTATGCTGTTTGTTGACCAGTAGACACTATTATTGAAATTAATCAACGTGAATGTACCTGTCATCCATATTTATGTATTATCTCGAGCATAGATGGGAGTCACACAATTTTATTCCCAACGTATATGAAAT